GAAAGGCGCACAGGTAATGGGGGGGAAAAATAAGAACCAAGATACATCATGTACAGGTACAAACACCCAATGATAAATGTAAATGAATTGTATACCTAAAATGTACCAATAAAAGAACAACAAAAAGAAAATAGCAGTCAGCAACTTGCATTTGTGTTTGTACACCCTAACTAGAATAAAGGGTGTGGTCAGTCTTTCTCTTCATTCACGAATAGGAAGTTGATAAGGGTGCCTTTGCTAACATGTGGATCATGACTGCTAGAAAATAAACATAAGTTTAATCTGTGAGTTTTATATATTTAGTAAATTTAAAATGGACATGTAGGGGGCCACTGACATGTCAAAGCCCAGGTGTCTGAGAACACAAAGTCTGCCATTTAGTGCTGGCACTTGACAAACTTTGTTCTGATCAGACCCCGACCCCCCAACTTCAGCCCACTGGCCCCATCAGGACCTTAAAGAAATAACCTTGTCTTGTTGCTAATAAAGATTGCCTAGGTAAATGTATCAGATTACTCTGCCTGGGGCCTAGGGCAAAATCTCTGACCTTCCATCTCTAAAGGTGATCTCTTTTGCAGAAAAGTGCCCTAACTTGACTATTCATATATTTAATTCTCTTTCAAGGAACTAGAAAGCAATGCTTTAAATCTCTTGGTTTCCTAACAATACTTTCATCTCTAAACATGATTGTTAAGGCTAAAGTCAACTGTAACTTGTGCTTTGGGAGTACCGACTGGAGTAAGGTTACTGAGTTCCCTGAGGAAGATAAGATGGCAGCGATGGTAAAGAGTAGATAGTCCAGTCCGGTTTTATTTTCTGGGTCTCTCTCCAGGCAGCTACCTGCCCTGGAGTGGAATAAACCTTAGGGGATGCTCTGGGGTTGCCCTAGGGGCATAGGAATCAAGCAGAGACTTATGAGACGCCATTTTTGTTTCTCTCTTATTTCAGATGGGGACTCCATATCTGAACCTCTTACTCCTTTGGAATGTATTCTTAAACACTGGAAAATATTCGACCCTCACATACTGAAAAAGAGTGGTTTAATATTTCTCTGCACCTGTGCATGGCCTACTTATCCCCTAGAAACAATATGGAATACAGAGGGAAGTACTGATTATAATGCTATTTCACAAGTAGAATCATACTGTAAAAAAGAGGGAAAATGGTCAGAATTCCCTTACGTTCAGATTTTCTTTGCATTAAAAAATAATTCGTATCTGCAATCAAATTGTAAATGTGAGCCTCAGGAAAGCCGGGACCCTCTGGCCCCCATCACTGAGGTTTCCCGCCCTTGTCTTTTGGAACCTGAGGGCAAAATTTCCAAGGCTATTTTAGTCAAAACTCCACCTACTGCTGAGGCAAAAGCTCTTCCTACTTGTCCTTTAGAGCCTGAGGTCCCTCCTCCCTATCCTTTAGGGTTTGAGAGTGAGGTCCCTAGGCCAGCTACTATTAAACCCTCTACAGGGCTGTATCCGTCCTTAGCTAATTTTGTTCAAGCTCCTCTAGGGAAATATCCCTTACAAGAAGTAGATAATGGTCTCGGATGTGCTCGTGTCCAAGTGTCCTTTTCTCTCAGTGACCTCAATCAGACCTTAGGAAAGTTTTCAGATAACCCTGATAAGTACATTGATATCTTTAGGGGTCTTACTCAGGTCTTTGAATTAGACTGGAAGGATGTAATGTTACTTTTAAAGCAAACATTAACTTTTAATGAGGTACAAGCAGCAATACAAGTTCCCATTAGAGTTGGTGATGAATACCATCTTGTTAACTGTAGAGGGCCAGGACAAAGACAGCCAGGGGAGCCACAGATTCCTATTGGACCTCAAGTGGTCCCTACACAGGACCCCTACTGGCCTACCAATCATGTAGGAGATTGGTATGGAAGACATCTACAGTTTTGTATTCTTGAGAGCCTAACAGGGACCAAAACTAAACCCTTCAATGATCTTATCAACTATTCAACAAGAGGAGAAAGAATGCCCCTCTGCCTTCTTAGATCACTTACTCTTAAGAGGAATTAGTAAAACATACATCCCTAGCTCCTGACTTGGCAGAAGGACAGATTGTTCTTAAGGATAAGTTCATTACTCAGTCAGCCCCAGATATTAGAAAAATTTACAAAAGATGGCTTCTGACCCAGATAGCTCATTTGAGAATTTAGTGAGAATTTCCTCCTCAGTATTTTACAATAGAGAGCAGGAGGAGACCAAGGAGAGAAAACAGAAGAACCAAGAGAAGGCAACAGGCTTAGCAGCAGCTCTTAGAGAAATAGTCTCTGGGTCTGATTCTCAGGACTCCGAGAAAAGCTCAACGATCAAGCCCATCTGTTACCACTGCCAAAAGCCAGGCCACTGTAGGAAGGACTGCAACCAATGAGAAGCCCCTTAGACCATGCCATATTTGCAAAGGTGATCACTGGAGATTGCACTGTCCTCTGCAACAAAGGTCCCAGAGCTCAGACCCATCCTATCAGCTGGTCCAGCAAGACTGAAGGGGCCCGGGGCACTCTCTGTCTTCTCCCTCTGGCTGGACTGTCATCTCTATGGAGGAGTCCCAGGTAATCATGGCTATAGAGGAAAGAGAAATAAGCCTATTCCTGGACACTGGTGCATGTCTTTCAGTCCTCTTTAACCCTGGCCTTCCTTCCAGCCAACATACATCAGTGAGAGGAGTCACTGGAGAGGAGGTAACACTATTTCTCACAACCCTTAAGCTATAACTGGGATGGCTTTCTCTTCACCTATTCCTTTTTAATTATGATTGAAAGTCCAGTTGTCCTTCTTGGGAGAGATATCTTGTCCTGTTTAAATACTATACTATGTATGTACCCAGGTCAAGTGCACTGTCTTCCCCTTGTAGAAACAGAAATAAATCCTGAAGTATGGGCACCTGAAGGCAGGATAGGCAGAGCAATAAAAGGTACTCCAGTGCAAATAGACCTCAAAGATCCTATAATTTTTCTCCACCAAAGACAATATCCTCTAAGGCCTGAAGTAAAGAAAGGATTATTACCTATAATTGACAACTTAAGAACACAAGGTTTGCTTAAAGTTTGTAATAGCCCATGTAACACTCCAATGTTGGGGGTTCAAAAACCAATGGAGAATGGAGGGTGGTACAGGACCTTAGTTTAATAAATGAAGCAGTAGTGCCCATCCACTCAATGGTACCTAACCGGTACACTCACCTCTCTCAGATCCCAGAAGACGCTAGTTGGTTCTCGGTGTTGGATTTAAAAGATGCTTTCTTTTGTATTCCTTTACATACAGATTCCCAGTTTCTTTTTGCCTTAGAAGATCTTCATGATGAGGCCTCTCAGTTGACATGGACTGCTTTCTCAAGGATTCAGAGACAGTCCTCATCTCTTTGATCAAGTGCTTTCCCATGACTTGGCATATTTTGAATGTTCCCAGGTCATGGTCTTATAATACGTAGATGATATATTGTTATGTGCCCCCTCAGAACTTTCTGGCCAAGGCACCCATGCTCTGACAGGGGTTATAAGGTTTCTAGATCTAAGGCACAACTTTGCAGCCTTGAGGTAAAATATTTGGGCCTTATCGCTTCTCGGCCTTTTGGCTAAGATCAAGTGAAATATTTGGGCCTTATTATATCTAAGGGAACTCGAAGACCGAGGGAAGAAAGAATTAATCTGATTCTTTCCTTCTCACAGCCTAAGATTCTAAAAGAGCTAAGGAGATTCCTAGGAACTATAGGCTTTTGTTGCCTTTGGATAGCAGGATATGGTGAAATTCCGAGGGCCTTCTATCAGCTTATAAAGGAAGCTCAAAAGACAGATACTCATTCCCAAGCCCCATTCCAGAAGCTCAAACAAGCACTTCTAAATGCCCCAGCACTGAGCTTGCTGAATAGGACACCTGTTCAGTTTGTATGTTGATGAAAGGTGGGGCATGGTTTTGGGAGTACTTACACAGGATTGGGGACCTGCTCAATAGCCTATAGGTTACCTGAGTCATGAGTTAGACATTGTAGCCAAGGGATGGCCTACATGTCTCAGAACTGTAGCTGCAGAGCTCTCCTAGTGCCAGAGGCATCCAAGCTGACACCATATTACCTATTTCACTGTTGCCTGGAGGCCACAATCATCAGGAAAGGTAGAAAAAATGAACGAAACACTAAAGAGACATCTCCATAAAATGGTTCAGGAGACCCACCTACGGTGCCCCCACTTAGTACCTTTGGCCCTTATCAAGATAAGAAATATACCTCAAATTCTAGGCCTCAGTCCATTTGAATTTTTTTTTTTTTTGGTACTGGGGATCAAACTCGGGTCCTTGCACTTGCACAGCAGGTGGTGAGACCACTGAGCTAAATCCCTGGCTCCTCAGTCCATTTGAAATGCTTTATGGATGTCCTTTCCTCACTAATGATCTTCTCTTTGATAGAGAAACAGATGTCTTACTGGAAGATGTCACTTCACAGGCTAAAGTCCAGCAGACTCTTTAACAGCTAACAGAAGCTCAGCCTAGAGAAAGAGGAAATCCCGTATTCCAACCTGGAGATTTAGTACTAGTAAAGTCTCTTCCCTCATCAACTCCTTCCTTAGGACCAACTTGGGAGGGACCATGGGCCGTGATCCTGTCGACTCCATCAGCTATCAAGGTAGCGGGCCTGGACTCTTGGATACACCGCACCCAACTCAAGCCCTGGGAACCAGACACTGTCGCTGAGTGTGAGCAACCACCTGAATACTCCTGTAAACCCACAGAATCCATAGTTCAAAAGGAAAGCAAAGTCTTCAGATAAGTGATCTAAGATGTTACTCTCAGCCCTCTTACTAATTAATGTTATTAATCTTACCCCTTAAGGGAGAATGCAATTCCTTTCTAAGGTGGGCATAAGAATATGCAGACTCATTACAACAGACATCTTGCTGGATATGTGGCCTGCTCCCCTTGTCAAGTACATCAGGACTTCCTTGGTGGGTATCCCCATTTCAAAGAGATGATTGGAATAAGTTGCAAGATTATACTGATGAGACACAAAAGAGCTCAATAGTTCATAGGTCAGACCACCATTACAAGGTAACTGAGTGGCCTATAAGCTACACCCTTAATGACCCTGGACATAATCAAAATTTCTCTAACAATGCCACTGAAGCCTCTCTTACAGGCCCTAGTAAAATCCCTATTAAGTAGAAGTAAGGGTACAATCCTGAGAGAAAACAAGCATAGATATCAAGATGGCTATTTTCAGATATGGGATGATTATATATGGTTAACCCCCACTATAGTACACCTTAGTAGAAAGGCCTCCTTATGTTGGGAACAGAAAAATCACTCCTATTCTCATTGGCCTAACTCTACTAGATACTTGGGATGGACACACCCCCTGAAGAGTGTATACCCATAATAACTTTACTGGCCAAGGACTAGTTTTCAACAAACTGGTTTAATAGCCCTAGAATTAGATGAGAAGCCCCCAGTGGCACTCATTGGGCCTGTGGAACCAATTTGTGGCCCTGGCTACCCCCTGGATGTATAGGAAGACACACACTGGGATGTGCATGGTTACAAGGCAGGAGTGTCAAAACCCTCCACAAGCCTGCAAACTTACCCTGCCTACAACATTGATGGACTAGAAGTGTGTTTCACTAGTATGATCACTTGGCTTCTATCATTCTCCCCTCCCTAGGGTTAGAAGATGTCATGCAGCATATTGAGGCCTTAACTAATTATACTCAGCTGGTGTTAAATGATACTGCAATTAGTCCCTCTGTCTTGAATGAGGAAGTAAAATTAATGAGGCAAGCTGTCCTCCAAAATTTGATGGCATTAGACATTTTAACTACAGCACAAGGGGGTACTTGTGCAATTATTAAAGCTGACTGTTGTGTGCACATTCTTGATCCATCTGCTAATATCGCAATAGCTGTTCAAGATATTAGATGACAATTTAATGCTATGTCAGATTCTGAAGCTCCCTGGACCTTCTCCTTATCCTCTTTGTGGGAGGCTATTACTAGTTCCTCCTAGTGGAAATGATTGTTGGCTATATCCATAGCAGTCCTGCTGACCTTAGTATTTGGTCCATTTCTTTGGCTTTGTATCCTCCAGACTCAAAGCTATAAACCTACCCAAAATAACAATGCTTGGCACCTACTGAGGGCCTTTAAATAAACTATCTGTAGAGTAACTGACTGCCAATAACAACTACGACCCTCTTCAGCGGGAAGTAGCCAGAACTGTCTTTGCCCCCTTGGCCCCTCATGACAGTTAGGGGTACTTTTTCAAAGGGGGGAATATTATAGAATAGGTAAGTTAATTAGATATCTTATAACCAGTTAGACAGGACTGGCCCTCGAGAAGCCAAAATGGAGAACAATCAAGGAACCAATATGGAGAACAATCAAGACACATCCACTGAAGGTCAACATTATAAAAGAAACTACTACACCCTTGAGCTTCCCCTGAAGATGAATAACAGTGATTGATATTCTAAATAGGTATCAATCACTTGAGCAGGGGTCAAGGTCTTAACCCAGCCTTTTCAAGAAAGATCTCAGACCCACCCTTATTGAAAATTTTTGTATGCTTGCTATGTGACTTGCTTCCCCATTTGACCTCCATTTAATCAACATTACCTGGGCAAATATACTTGTTGTCATCTTATTGGCTGATCATAATTTTGTACCACTTCGAACCTGGCTCACCTCACAGATTTGCTCCATAAATATCCCCTGGGAAATAGGGTCAGGGAAACCCACTTTCTGGTCCCCCTTCTGTCTCTCTTAGATAGAAGCTTGCTTTCTGTCAATAAAATTTTCCTACTGTTAACCTTCGTTGTTCCTAGAATTCATTCTTTGATTTTAGAGAACACGAACTTGTGTTTCAGATACCTAGCAGGTTTGGGAGTTACATCTATTCCTCCTATATCAATACCAGCCTAGATTGAAGTTTCTTATGTAGGCACTCACAGCATAGGAACAGCCTTTGGGCGAATTTAGTTTAATAGGCTCCATGAAGCTGTTGAGGATGTAGCAGAGTTTGTAATTACTAAACAGGTTCCAAAGGTCTGGATTTGAGGGTTTGAGGTTGTTTCTGGGTGGTTGGTACAGGATGGGAGGAATGCCCTAGAGTATGGAGTTTATGGTATGGAACCAGAAATACTACACCTCTTTGGGGGGCTCTGGGATGTTCCTGAGGATTATAAGAGAAACAAGGAAATTGCTAGATTGGGGCAAATTCCAACTGGTTTCCAGCAGTTATTTTCTATCGGTCTGATAATATCAATAGTGCTATTGGATCTGAGGATGTAGCTCAGTGGTAGAGTGCCTGTCTAGGATGTGCAAGGGCCAGGTTTGATCTTTAGTACAACCTGCTTTTTAGATACTGGCCCCAACCAATTCCAGAGCTAATCTGGGGAGAAGGATACTGTATCTTTCTGGGTTGGTTTTAGAATTAAACAATCATCTGAGACCCCAGACTCCCCCCAAAACATGCTGGGAGCTCACGTTGTCCCTGCTTTTCTCAGGTCCCCTCAGCTGCCACATGACCAAGGAGCCAGTTTCCACTTTTGGCTTTGAATGCCAGTCCTCTCTCAAAGGCCCCATTGGCTGGACCTTGATTCACAGGGGTACAAGAGACAATGGCAGACTTCAGTGTAACCAAATGATTTTCTAAGTGTGTTGACCTTACCTAGTCACAGATTTTTTTTTTTTTTGAGACAGGGTCTCACTATGCAGTTCAGGCTGGCCTCAAACTCACTATGGAGCCCAGGCTGGCCTCGAACCCATGGCAATCCTCCTGCCTCAGTCTTCCGAGTGCTGGGATTACCATTGTGTGCCACCATGCCCGGCCAGTCACAGATGATTCCTCTGTTGGTTTAGAAATGCTCACCTTTGCTGTGACCTCAGCTGGAAGTATTTCCGTTTGCTTTACAATTTAGCTTTTATCTTTAGTGATAATCTCTGTTCTTCTGTATCCTTCTCTTATTCTAATACACCCCCACTATAAGTGAGTGGAAGTAATGATTTTTTATAGGTCACCATATTAAAAACCCACTTATCTTTTCTCTAGCCTCCAAATCTATTTCTCTATATTGGTCAGTGGCATTATCTACCTTTTTGTTTGTTTTGTTTTTTGAGACAGGGTCTCCATATGTAGTTCAGGTTGGCCTTGAACTCACTATGTAGCAGCCCAGGCTGGCCTTGAACTCACAGAGATCTTCCTGCTTCACTCTTCCAAGTGCTAGGATTACAGGCATGTGCCACCATGGTCAGCTACTTTGTTATCTAAATTGAAAAACTTGGCAATGGTTTGCTTGTCCCTGAATCTGTATATCCTATCTGTCTTTGAGTTGTTTCTTGAATTTAAAAATCTAAGCCTCCATCTCTGTTACTGTCATCTGAAATATTTTAGTAGCTGCCTAAATAGCTGCTTTCCCTTTGTCCTTCCCTTTCATTCACATTTATGAAACATCTGGGTATACAAATGCATAGAATTTGGTATGACAGTTTAATGCAACTGGACAGACACTAACATTCAAAAAGTGAATCACAATAAATTGTTTAATCCTTATTGTCTCATCAAAGGAAGCAAAGACATTTTCCTGAGATTCACATTTTTTCTGTCACTAAATTCTAGAAAAAGCTACTCCTTGCCTAAAAGATACTGGAAAGACAGAGTGGTCAATTTCTTCAAATAAATTTTCTTTTCCAGTGATGGAGAGCAAAAGCCTTGCATATGCTGGGCAAATGGTCTCCCACTGAGCTACAACCTGTCTTTCTTCCCCGGAAATTTAAAAAATGTTCTCTGAGCCTGAGTGAAACAAAGCTCTATTTCCAGCAGCTAGTGGAGCTAGTTGAACTATAAGAAAGGAGACATCAGAATCTAGTCTGCAGTGAGTTAAATTTCCAGAACACAGTATAAGCAGAGCTGAATTTAGTGGGGTTTAGTGGCTAGTAGCCTATGTATTCTGCTAAAAAAATACATTTACAAGTCTATTTTCCAGATTTTATTTGGTTTTGAGATTCACAAATTGGGAAACAACCCGGACCAAAAATAGTTTAGAATGCCCTGGCTGACAATATAGGACAGTTATATTTATAGGAAACAGAGAACAGGAAATAACTTACAGAAAAGGAAGTGAGATACAGAGACATCTTTTTTTTTTTTTTGGTACTGGGGATCGAACTCAGGACCTTGCACTTTCAAGGCAGGTGATGGCACCACTGAGCTAAATCCCTGGCCCCAGAGACATCCTGATTGGTTACAGCTTATCTCTGTTTTCCTTGACTGTGGTGTGAAAAGTCCATGGCTTGTGATTGGCTGAGACTCAGCTACTTCTTTCAAATAGGTTATAGTTTATTTACACATCAAGTTAGGTTACAGTTTTCTATGTATGAAGAAATCTTTAGGCCAAATATAATAATTCCTTTCCACATATCTTAAATAGCAGTCATCTCAAATATGTTCTTGATGAGTGCAATCTGTTCAAAACTGAGTGCTTATATCTTAAGGAAAGATTTTGTTCTTTTGATTGTAGAAATCCATAGTATCCCCAATCTGTAGTATATGGAATGATCAAGTGGTAGTTTTTTTTCCTGTTATGAGTATTAAAATAGAACTACCTATAGCAGTGGTGGGGGGCCTGTGTCTAGATCCTCATTCCCATACCAGCCTTTTAATGTTCTAAGTTTTGTTCTTTCATATTCAAATAACACATTTTTTCCTTCTATTGTGTTTCTGTGGCTCAGAGTCTACATATTCTTATATAATCCCTTAATTACGCTAGAAAGATGTTACTGTTATCATAAGAAATGAATTGCAGCTGTGATGGCAGAGTGGTTGAGGTACTGGACTTGAAATCCCTGCACAGGTTCAAATCCTACTTACAGCGGTCACATTTTCAGTCTAGATATCCCAGGATTTGGGAGGCTGAGGCAGGAGGATCACCGTTAGTTCAAGACCAGCCTGGACTACATAGTGAGTTCAAGGCCAACCTGAACTGCATAGCAAGATCCTGTCTCAAAACAAAACAAAACAAAAAAAGAAATGAATTGATGATAAACAACCATGGAACCTATAGGATAAATAGCTGAGTATAGTATTTACTCTACATATTATATATATTAATGTATTTAATCCTCCATGTAAATCTATGCAGTAGGCGCTGTTATTCTCTCCATCTCACCAATGAAGAAACTGAGGCATAGAAAGGCTAATTATTTTACCAAAGGTCACTCAGCTAGTAAGCATTAAATAGCTAATAAAATGACAGAATTGGTATTCCAAAGCAGACAATTTTGAACCTGTATTCCATATAGTACACACCATATACTATACTTTGTTTTAAAATAAGATTTCTCTTAAATGTTTAGGATCCTTATTTCTTTCTAGTCTCTCTTCTTGCCTTTCTTAATAGTATCCTCCAGGATTCTATTCTTCAGACACTCCTTGGAATAGGTAGTAACAAGGTTCTGTGATCAAGATGAACTTTGCTCCTGAAAGTGTAGTCGAGATGTTTCCTCTTCTCAAGGAGATGATTTAGATCCTTCAGAGAAGGGCAACTATAAAACAAACTCACTTCATCTTTTCACATATGAGCTTGATTATTAATTAGCATTAATATTACTATCTATTTCCACCCAGCAAAGAAGTGGATGAAGTCAACCGAGTCAAAGGGAATGGAAACTCCCCAGGGCAGACTCCACTCTAGATGTATGCCATAGTTTCTCCACGTCAAGTTGAACTTTGTTTCTGGTTCTTACCTGACAGGGGAGCCTAGATCATTCTGTGCATATCAGAAGGCTTGGATTTTTCAGTCCTCAGAGTGGAGCATCTACAAAATAGATTTTTGTCTTTATAACTCTGATGTATTTTTATGCTACTAAAGTCTACTGCTTATCTATTAAATTGGGATAATAAGGTACACTGATGCCATATACAGTATATCTTTATAAATTTGTTTTATTGTGATTTAATTATGCCCAGAACTCTGCCTCATGGCTTATTTTCAATAATACTTATCAATTTATAGTGGTCACTTAACCACATCAATAGGAAAAGAGGAAACAAATGTAATTTAATTGTTATGGTTTGGATTTTTTGAGACCATATTTCACTATGAAGCATAGGCTAGAACAGGCTATGTATGTAGCCTAGGATGGCCTGGAACTCCTGATCCTCCAGCTTCAGCCTTCCAAATGTTACAAGTATGTGCCACCACACCCAGCTTGAATCTTTGTGTTTTGTTTGTTTGTTTTGTTTTGAAACAGGGTCTTGCTGTATAATTCAGGCTGGCCTTGATCTAACTATGTAGCCCAGGCTGGCCTCGAACTTGAGGCAATCCTCCTGCCTTAGCCTACCAAGTGCCAGGATTACAGGCATGTCCCACCATGGCCAGCTGCCAGTTTGAATCTTAAATGTCCAGCAAAAGCCATGTGTTTAGGGCTCAACTGCCAGCCTGTGGTGCTACCGGGAGATGGTGGAACTTTTAGGAAGTGGTAGAACCTTTAGGAGGTGGGACATAGAGCAAGAAAGTCACTGAAGGCCCGCCTTTGAAGGGGATATTGGGATCCCATCCCTTGTCTCTGTTTTACTTCCCAGTCGCCACTGAGGTTAAAAGCCACCTCCATTACAAACTTCCTGCCATAGCCCCTAAGTCAGCAGGGCCATGGCCCCTAGGTCAGCAGGGCCAAGTGAACATAAACTTCTCCTCTGAAACCATGAGCCAAAATAAGCCTTTCCTCCTTTAACTTGATTTTCTTAGGTATTTTATCAGTGTCACAGCTGGCTAACAGACTAGTAATCCAATTATTTTGAGATAATACCTTGGGCATGTTATCTCATAATTGCAAGTATTAGATATGGTTGTAAACATGCTTTTTATTTTTGAAATAAAATATTCATGGTTTTAAAAATTCCAATCCTACAGAAAAGTAGAAAAATAGTACAAGGAATACTCAAATACCCGTCACCTGATTTTGCAACTTGACAGCATTTTGTGACCTTTGTTTTCTCTCTCACATGCACTCACACACACATATTCTATTTTTGTTTTGGTTAGATTATTTGAAATTAAGTTGTTGACACTATTACATTTACCACCTGAACATTTCAGCTTGTACTGTCTAAGAAGCACATTCTCCTACATATAAAAAGTATCATCACATCTAAGGCTCTTAAGATGGGCATACTATTACTATCTTATAGTCTCATTCCAATTTCTTCAGTTTTTCCAAAAAGATATTTACAGATACTTCCTCATCCTCCTTTGCTGATTCAATATTTGGTCAATGATTTTGTTGGCATATCCAGCACCCACAACAGACATCCAAAAAAATCTTTCATGATACTGACTTTTTAAAGAATTCAATCTAATTGTCTTGTGGAATGTCCTATAAATTGACTCGTCTGATTGTTTCCCTGCACTTGGATTCAGGCTAAATATTTTGGCAAGACTACACCTCAGTATTGTTATATATTCCAATGGTATCACAGTTTATCCCATTATGGAAGATACTAAATTAGAGCATTTGGCTGAGGTAATGTCTTTCACCTTCATTAAAAAAAAATAATCTGGAGGTGTTGGGTGTGGTGGCACATACTTATAATGCCAGGACTTAGGAAGCTGAGGCAGGAAGATCACCATGAGTTAAGGTTAATGTGAACTACCTAGTGAGACCCTATCTCAACAAACAAGCAAACTAACAAACAAAAACAAACAATAACAACAGAAAAATCTAGAGGTGTTAGTTTGAGGCTATTTCTCAATTATTTTTCACCCAGTGGTTTTAGTGGTCATTAATATTGTTTGAACCTGTTACTTCTTTGGGGGTTACAAAACAGTAATTTTTCAATTTCTATCATTCCTTCTATATGTATTATCTGGCACCCTTATGTTCAAAAAAGAGCTATCCCTAGCTCAATCCCCCTTTTCATTTTTCATATCATTTTGAACTGAGTTCTTTTAATGAAATCCAATGTGTTATAATCCATCATCTCTGAGGGCATGGCTAACACAAGAGAATTAGAAATAACTCCTAATTAGATTATAAATCCTTTCCCCCAAATGGCAAAAATCTCTGGATATCATAGCATAGCTAAAGTCAAGAATAATACAATTTATTGGAAACAAGAGAATTGACAGCTAATGATGAGACACCTGTGCCCCCTCCCCTTCCCACCTCGCACCTCCTGACTCTTGATTTCGATGCTTATACTAATCCTTAAGCTAAAGGGAAAATTGATTGATCCAGGAAAAAAGGCCAAGTGGTACTAATATTGCATGCCTCCAGGGAAATAAATAGGAAGAGCCATCATTCTAAGAATCACTTAAAAAGCTCTGGATCCCTGTATGGAGAGACTATGATCTGTTTTCTAGTGATTCACTCTTCAATATAAATGAACAGCTGAGGATCATCCAACATTTGAGGAAAGCATCTAATACGATAATAGAGATCTAAATAAACAGAAAAGCAACAAATCTTGGACAAAATTGGAGTTTTACAGAAGGAAACTTCCAAAATTTTATTAATATTCTCAGAACAGGAAAAAAAAAAAACTAAAATAGGACAATAATAAAAGGATTGTATCCATGAAGAAATTAGAAGCTCCCTTGGAAAAGGGAACAATCAGAGAAATTAAAATGTGATTGCAAGAATTTAAAAACATTGATAGGGTTGAAAGACAATAAAAGTTGAAAACCTTTTAGAAAGTAGACTAGAGGGGAGAGAGGGGAGGAAAAAGGGAAGTAAAAAGAATTAAGATGTGTTATGTACATGAACTAATTCCCCATGATGAATAATCATTATGTACTGCAAACATGTACTTATAAAAATAAAAAGTAGATTAGAAGACAAATATATGTGGAATTAGAGTCAAAAGATAAAAAGTTAAATGTTTAATCTAGGAGTTCTATCATCTGATTAATAGCAGTTTTTTTTTCTTAAGTTCTTTTATTGGTACATTTTAGGTATACAATTCGTTTACATTTATCATTGGGTGTTTGTACCTGTACATGATGTATCTTGGTTCTTATTTTTTCCCCATTTCCTGTGCACCCTTCACCCCCTCCACCCTTCCCTATTTACATAGACATTTCCATTTTTTTTCCTTTTCTCATAGTTTTTCCTTTCCCTCCTTTCCTTTCCCCTTCCCCTCCCTTCACCCATTCGTCTTTGGACCTTTTTTCCTATTTCAAATTATCAATTATTCATTTTAATCATTTTAACCCTTGTTTACACTATTAGTTTCTCACACTAGAGAAACTATTCAGTATTTACACATGTGTGTCCTATTTATTTCACTTGAGTAGGGCCTCAATACGCATCCATTTAGCTATAAATGACTCATTTTCTGTAGTACTCTGAGTAGTACTCCATTTTATAAAAAAAACCCCACATCGTCTTTATCCAGTTTCCAGTTGATGGGCAATTGGGCTGCTTCCAAGTTTTAGCTATTACAAACTGTGCCACTGTGAACATAGGTGCACATATATCACTGTGGTATGATTCTTTTAATTCTTTGGGGAAGATACCCAACAGGGAATAGCTAGGTCAAATGGGACTTCCAGTCCTAGTTCTTTGAGGTATCTCCAGACTGATTTCCACAGTGGTTGTACCAGTCTACACTCCTACTGACAATGGAGAAAGGTTTCTTTCTCCCCACAACCCCGCCAACACTTGTTATTGGTTGATTTCTTGATAGCAGCCATTCTTTGTGGGGTGAGGTAGAATCTCAGTGTTGTTTTCATCTGCATCTCTCGAAGGACCAATGATGTTGAACATTTTTTCATATATTTATTTGCTGCTTTTACTTCTTTGTCTGAGAAATGTCTGTTCATTTCAGATGCCCATTTTTGAATTGGGTCTTTGAATTTGGGAGGTCTGATATTTTTCAATTCTTTATGTATTCTAGATAGTAGTCCTTTGTCTGAGGTACAGTTGCTAAAAAATTTTTCCCACATTGTAGGTTGTCTGTTATAATAGCAGTTTCGAAAAGAGTAAAAAAGTTTTTTAAAAGATTTGAGAACAGTTGGGAATTTAGCTCAGTGGCATCGCTCCTGTCTCACAAGCACAAGGTCCTGAGTTCGATCCCTGGTACTGGAAAAAAAATTGAGAACATTTTCCAGAAATTGATGGAATCATTGAGTGTCCAGCAGTATAAATGAAGGTAAATACAATGGGGTGAGGGCATCCTAAACACTGTAAAGGGGAGGGAGAAAATGTAAAATATATTTTTAAAAACCCCATATAACAATGACAGTGGACTTGTCAATAACTGGCAGGTAGAAAAAAATTGAATAGTACCTTCAAAATTAGAGAAGGGGAAGTTATTTCCAACTAAGAATTCTTTCCCCACTCTCTTCAGCATTTTAGTGTATATTAGAGACATCTTCAGATATATTAAGTCTCCAACATTTACCTCCCAGTCTCTCTCTCTCAGGGAGCTCCTAGAACAGAGAAAACAAACTGTTGCTCTTAGTCCAAATCAAACTTGCTGTCTCAATTTAGGCATATATGTATTTACTTTTTAGTTTTTAATTGACACATAAAATTTGTATAAAGAGGACAAGCATCAGTAGAGTGACTTATGACGAGAAATGAAAATATTTGAATTAGCTATAATACCATGCCATTGACATTTACAAATTATTAAACTACCACCCTCCCAACAAAAAAGATTTGTACATATTTATGAGGTATCACATGATGTTCTGATACTTGTATATGTTATGTAAAGCATGGCAACCAGGACTCTGGAAGTAGGAGGTGAGGAGGGGACAGGGTGTGGGTGTCTCATCATTACAGGGTAAGCATAATTGTCTCCTCAAACATT